TCCTAACCAATAAAGTAGGGAATAGCTATCCAACTGTTGTTTTAGTTGTATTTTACTTCATATTATAGTTATATCAATGTAAATCATTGTTTTCCCTTGTGTTTCTCATTCTTTCCCTGCCATGTCGTAAAATGTGGTGAACCCATCGCTGTATTTGCTCCAAAGCAAATATTGGCCTTTCTAGTTACTTTATTGTATTGTCTAATGGTAATATATATAATGTCACGGTTATTAGAATTACGTATAGGGCCGGAAGTTCTCTGTGCTGTTATATATAGTGATATTCACTTTTTTTTTTCGAATTTAATTCTTCTTGTTTTGTTTTTGTCGAGATGAACTGCAGATGTGTTGTACGGATTATGGCAAAAATTAATGCAACCAATCAGCGACAGGTGACGTCACATGTTTCGAAACAACCTTCCGATGTGTACAATGCTTGCATGTATACTAGCATATTCATTTCTAAACATAAACATAAACAACAAGGTGGATCATTTTGTAATGCTGCAGCTGGTTAAGACAAGTAGCTGGTAGTCTAGTAATGGTTTTTACTTCGTATGAATGGTACGTACTATGCAATGCTGGGAGATTAAAACTATTAGATAAGAAAAAAATATCGATGTAGTAAATTATATACTACTGCTGTATTATCAGAGGAAGATCGTAATCAATTCAATTCATTTTTTATTTCAGTCACAGAGCCCATATCATTTCATAGATACAGGTACACAGGCATAAGGATGAATACATAATACATGTATGTACAGTAAACTAAAATACAATGGTGACGATTTAATCGATTATTATTAAAATCATTATTACAATTATTCAAAAATTATACAAATCAAAAGTCATTATTAAAATATATTGCAACAGCACAAAATGAAAATAGCAAATATTCAATCGGATATTAATTATAATATTAATGGATCGTTTATGTTTTGAAGCGTCATAAAATTTAGAAACGTGTATTTATCTAAATTAATGTTTTGCATTCTTAATTATGACAATTTTGCTACAATCTTTTAACAAACTGGTACACCTACTGTACAATACCAGGATTAAGTTGGTTGTATCATGGTTGAATTGTTGGTTGAATCATTTCAACCCTGTTCCTTTATACTTCTCTAAATAAATCTGAGAACCAAAAAAAAAAACAGACCGGACAGTTTGTGTGGCCTAAAGATAAGATGCTATCATTGATGCAGAAACGTTCTGTGAAAAGGATGTTGTCACAGGGAGACTGTCATGTGCAGCGAATGAGCTGATCGTGATTGACGATGCCTTCTACGGTCGGAGGGAAAACGGTCCTCGCTGTGGATGTAAGCTGAACTCTTGTGACGCGTGTCAAGATGAGCAAGATGCCAGGTAGGAGCACCATAACCGATCTAATCCCACCCCTATACCTAGCAGCCATCTGACTCCACTAGTAGTAGCCTGTGTTTACGCAATCTCTAACTTACTCACTGGCAGCAACTGTTGGGTGGGCTGGCCACTAGGTATGTGATTGATAGTCAGGCTAGGTCCTCTAGAAGCTTGATGGCAAATATAATCTTAAGTCGTAACATCTGATATTCTTTCCTCGTTGGGTTGGGTAACTGGACTTTTGCTAAACATCCCAAAAGACTTATTTTCCTGGCTAATACTTGTAAAAAAACAAAGTAACTATTCCTATTATAAGTATGTGGAAGCCTACACAGATGTTTATTCAGCAGTAAAGTAATTAAGGGAACAGCCAATCAGAGACCAGATCTCCAAACATAGTGCACCTGCTGCCCATATTTGGGCATTGGCCCTATGCCCAAATATGGTCACACTCCAATCTTGGCAACACACACTGCTACAGTACGTTACCTATAACACAAACAAAAGTCACAATAAAACCATTCTAAAAGCCCGTACCAAGAAAAAACCCCTGGGGGTATTCGGCCACTGTACCTTCATGCCAAATTTCATGTTATTTGGCCCAAAAATGAAGGAGTTGAATCAATTTAAAGAAATGGCAGGATAAGAAGAAAAAGAAACGTCAGCAAAAACAATATGACATCACCACTAGGTGGTGAAGTCATAATAAAAATGCTACTAAACCACAGGAATACAAAGCTGGTATTGTCAATTTGCAGCAGTATATAGCAACGTATATACGACAAGCCGGCACATGCTGGCTTTTTGCGGAATTTATGAGTCGGTACTGTACGTATGTATGTACTGAGCTCTTGAGTCGTGGAACTTCTGTAGCCTGTGTGCGATCCTCCAGAGTTATCAACCGGCTCCGTATTGTCACTAACTACCTTGGACTACCCAGGCCAGAGCCTCGGAGGACGTGATCTTTCTTTTTGAGAACAGACCTCTGAATCTATAGTTCAGGGGTTCGAATCTCAGTTGTTGTCACTCACCCAACTTGCACACTACTGGAAAGGGTCGCAGTCCTTAGGATGGAACATTATGCCTTGGTTGGTTTTGTGCTTGTTGAACAGAGCTAGGGGAAGCTTCCTTGAACAATGAACCTGTAAATACCGTACATATCATCTGAGTATTTATTTCATGAGACAACCTCGTGTTATAAAAGTTGATTTCCAAGACAGCTTAACCTGTACATAAAGAACAGAATATGTTACATTAAGTGTGGTGAAATAAAAATTGTTCTAGTCGAAATATGTTTTGTCTTACTTGAACATCTCACTTGGAAAGATTTTCTGGATTACTTTTAAGAGGGTCTGCATGGGGGGGGGGTAGTGATTACGTATTACGCAAAATTTTCGCCACCAATTACGAATTTCGTTTAAGTCTGAGAGCTGATTACGACTTTACGCTTTGCAGTTAATGTTCTATTACGAATTACGTTGATTTTTGGGGAGGCTGCCTGAGGATTACGAAGACTAAAAAGGCCTGATTACGCCTTGCGAAAAAGGGCATGAAGGCACCCTTTTTCGGAGTATGGCTGCATACATGTTAACAATGTCACCACACAATGGTTACCATGGTAGGCTCTGGGTGGATTTTTTTTATTTGGACATAAATATTCTAACTTCACACTTTTCAACTTTCTAACCTAACAATCTATTCCCAACTACGTTGTAACGTTACATGTGAGATTTTTAAAACAGTCAATGGAGATTAAAGTGAGGCCCTTGTTGAAATCAAAGACCTCCCAAAAGCTTGAAAAAGTTTATCAACTTGAAAAAGTTTCATTAACTTTTATAATCATTCTGCTTGCAAATCAACTGACTAACTGAACTAAACTAACAAGAGTAAAAAAAATAGTCATAAATACCAAACTTAATCTAATCTAATCTAAGTCTTAAATTAAAGTCAGACTCAGACTCTGAGTCTGTTAACTAAGGAGGTCAACAATCTAGGAGCAAGCTCCTTGGTACATACAAAGACAAGCCCACTACTTAGCCACAATTTGTAACCCTGAAGTGACGTTTGTGCATTTCAAACCAAAGTTGAACATCCAAAAAGTTGTGGTCTGTAGAGTTACGTTTGATACACTCGTCCTAAGCTACATTTTCATATCTTGTAACACTTGAGCCGTCAACTTGGCCAGTTGTAGGAAGGGGTTTGATCCATCGTCGGAGTACGCATCGTGCCCACAGCACTTCTTGTGTCCGACAGTCCAGTGTTGTCTCTGACAGTCACTGTTGCGGTACCGGGTCAGCTTGCACTGGGCACACAGCTGCAGGGTGGACCTGGAGAAAAGACCGTAACAGTTAAACTCAAACTGTTGGGTACGTCGATGAAGGTTAGACACCCTGGTAATACGGTACTACTTTCTTTCGACTTCCAAAAATTTGTCTTCACTTTATTTGCATATCAATCAATAGTTTGTGCTTATAAACCTGCATTTCCCCTTTGGTCTCTCAGTCACTGACGAAAGCTAGTGGATACTAGCTGAAACGTCTGACGTTTTCAAAATCATATCCAGTTGCTTGAGTAAGTGCTTTTTGGTGAAACTGTTAAGAGTTAACAGAAAAGAAGTTTTTAAACTGTATTTGTACTTAATCGTAGACAAATACAGAGAAATTGAGATGGACAAGGTGCTATTTGCAACTATATGGTGTGATAAAACCTTGTCGTAGCTATAGCTACCGCATAAAACCACCTAGTGAGCGTTCCCCCTTTTTTTCTGACGATTGAAGGTAGCAGAACAGTTTTCGTCCTATGGGGATTTCTATAGTTAATGACCCCAAGATGACGACGGTAAAAATTATAGTAGGGTGCACTTCACAAATACGAAAATCGAATATGTTTGAGAAGAAGGTACAAACTACAAAATATCTAGAAACCAAAAAATCCTGTAGGCGTATCTGCTCGTAACGTACACTTTGAAATCGCCCTCTACGGAAGTGACCTGAACTGCAGCCGACTCACCCGGAAAGCCAGTTGCGCAATGCTGCGCATTTATACACGAACTGCAAAACCTTCACAATTCGAATCATACAGTCTCAAACCCGGTACATTCCTACACCGCACAGCGCAACTTACATCTGGCTGACGCTCTTATCAGGCTCTCTACCCAGCCTTCAAGAATATTCGCTGTACTTCTTTCTATACCCGCGTCATAGACCCGGGGGTCGCCCATTGATACTGTGTGATGCTACCACAAGTAAACACACACACAAGCAAACACACACAGACACATCGAAAGCTATATCCGCAACCAAAAAAGGGGGGTAACGAAACCTACCTATGGCCCGGTTTGCCACATATAGGGTTGCAGCATCTCAGCAGCCCGGTCTGCAGTGCCTCTTGTATCAGCTTCGTCAGTTCTACGTCCATCTCGCAGTGCCTAGTTTAGTACAGGTGTAGTAGCAGTAGTGTTGGTTTATTAAGGGAAAAACATCACAGCAGAAGTCTGAAATTCAGTAAAAATCATGCTGAAATTCTAGTGTATTTTCTCTAGATGTAAGGAAAAGCCAGCAAACAGTTCGATTTCTACCCTAAAACCACTTGTAAAACGCATTTCAACTATTCAGAATAGAAGTTTGCACAACAAGTCAGAGATTATTTAAAAAAATCCACCACGTTTTCGATTTCGAATTCTAAACATCTCACACACAATTTCCCGTGTCTGACCTTTTGGCGTTCTCTCATTCTGCCCTACCGACCCATGTGCTGGCAACCTACTTTCATTTCAACCCAACTTCCTGTCCCTAGTTTCTATTGGGCTCACATTCTGAGACCTATGACCTCCTGTCATTCTGCCTGTCAATCTTTCCCCACCCACGTGCTGTCAACCTACTTTGACAAAACGGATACACAACCCCACAGCTCCGTCACCTAAGGCCACAGCAAGTAAATTTTATGGATGACATCAGCGCGCGCATTAATTTTCGCCTTGTTTTGGAGAAAAAAAACGAGAAATTTTGTTGCCTTTCGACAATGGTCTGTTGCCTTGCTGGAAGGTGGATGGCAGATAACTATAAGGAGAGGAGGCAAGAAAAGGCTCTGATTTAATGTTTAGTTTCTTACTTTTATGCAGTGATATGTGGTGCTGGCTGTGTATATGTGATGTTCCCACTGAATCAAAACCATTTGTACAATAAATGAGTCAAAATTTCAAAATGTAGGAACCTTGTTTTTTTCGGCCCGCCTTGTCTTTTCGCCCGCTCGCTTTAGATTTGAAGTCTGTTCAGGATGTCATCCATAAAATTTACTTGCTGTGGCCTATAAAAATAAGGCAAACAATACTTTCGTATCTGGAAGAGACAGTCGTTCATTCTCACTTACTCTTGGGCCGTCAAGCCATTGACGTCGGTCAAATCAACTCTTGCTCCGAACTCGATCAGTCGCCGAGCTATGTCGACCTGTTTGGAAGAACAGGCCACCATGAGCGGGGTCCTCTGGAACGCATCCCGTATGTCTAACGTTGCACCGTGATGTACCAGCAACTCCACCACTTCTGTATGTCCTGGGTTGGATTTGTGATGTAAAAAAAATGTCAATTAACGTTATTAGTATATGAATGAATGAAGACCTTTATTGTACGCAAATATCCACTGGGTTCAGTACGGGTCACAGGAAAGACGTCACAGTTTGCAATGAATATATACAATGTACAAGCTAGTGTTAATTCTATGTACTATGGACATGTAGTCTAATAATTACGATAATTTGGCTTCTCTATTCTTAGTAACGATGTAGATACAAGCACAGATGTGTTTTATAATCGAACGTTTGTCTAAAGCCATTAGAAATATGAACTTACATGTATCTGTGTTCTAAGATGTATGAAATGTGGAAACATACATTGCAATAGTTTATAAAGCTCAGCTGTCAACATTCTAATACATATGTAAGCTCCAAACAGATCCCAGGGTCGCACAGTATTAGACCGTGTATGGCCAATGGATACTTTATTTTCAACACTGGTCTTTCCTTGAAGATTAAACGTTATATTCCAATATATGGTATAGTCTTTTGCAATTCAGGTAGGTAATAAAGATAATTCTATTATGCAATATTATTTCGTTGCGCATCGGGGCATCCTTCTCATTCAAATATATATATATGACACCAGCCACTCCAAATTCTGTCCTTCATGTTCCCCGCTGTAGAACGAAGGTGTACCGGTCCAGTTTTATTCCACATGCTTCTACTCTTTGGAACCGCCTTCCACAGGCACTGAAGGAAGCCAGCAGCCTAAACGACTTCAAGAGAAAGTGCAAGGATTACCTGTTCACTCCGAGACATAACCAGCCGTACAGACGTCTAGGTACTCGGTACTACAACATCCTAACTGCAAGACTAAGAATGGACTGGAGCCCACTAAATGCCACCTTGCACTTGATGAATATCAAAGACAAAATGTGCTCCTGTGGTACCTCTTCTGAGACTGTTTCCCATTACTTGCTACGCTGTCCTCTCTACAGCTGTCAGCGTCACATTTTAACCTCCACAGTAGAGCAACTCACACGACACCGTCTAACCGAATCTGTTCTACTACAGGGGCTACCAGGCTGTAACATGCACACTAACAAACAACTATTTGAGGCACTTCAAACATTTATTTCCACCACAAAACGTCTAGATGGCCCTTCCCGTGGTACCACATAAGTCAACCTTTTACGATCTTACGTTATTCATGTAAATATTTCTTCACATATATTCATATATATATTTCTTCACATATTTTATTATATTCAATTGCCCTTGACCGCTGACCTCCAAAACAATAATTGCTATTACATGTATTATCTTGATTGAGTACTTTATTATGCTTGGTTGTATTTTATATTGTTAACTGATTGATTTTAGCCTAATCTTTACTTGTTAGTTTACTGTGTTAGTATGTTATATTGTGTATGTTTAATCTTTGTATTGTTTGGCGCCCGAAATCAGCTATGCTGCCTGGGTGGCCAGTGTATTGTATCGTCACAATCGCATTAAAATAAAATAAAAAATAAAATTCTGTCCTTGTGACAACTTGCTACATAATGTGATCCAACACTGGGTCTACTAATATACAAGGTAATTCATGCAAATATGGATCTTATGTGCATAATCATTTTGATAGTCGTAAAGGTTAACATCACTCGACGAAGGTATGAGTCTTTGAAGTGTTTTTTTTTTCTTTTTCCTTTTCATGGTCCTGTCCATGAACTTTATTTACAAACTGTACAAACTTTTATATACAATACAATACAATGTAATAGATATATGTTACATTACCAGGGGAATTAAGTAACCCCACTTTCTTTTTGCGTTTGTATCTGATATGTTATATTCTATGCATAGTATGTTTTTAAGATCTTTGTAAAATATTGAAAAGCAATTTATTTTATCAAAACATTCGTTCTCTTTATACACGATCCAGGACAAATATGGCATACAGGGCTAATGCAATCATGTGATTGCCTCCTTTGTACATTTTCTCAGTTCTTGGTATTCCCATTATGGGAATACAAGTTTCAAAATCAAGGTCAATCTTGACTAATACATTTAATAGTTTCTTGAACTTTTCCCAGAAGTTGCCCAATCTTATACAGTTAATAAACATGTGTTTTTCATCCTCTACTACTTTACAAATGTGGCACAATGGGGATGGTATTATTTTCCACCTATGTAAATTTTTGTTATTTGGAAGTATTCGATGGAGCAACTTAAACATGAAGTTTGATAATTTTCTTTCTGTTGTTAAATGTATAGTCATATCAATCCATGGAAGTTCAAAAGTTTGATAATTCTTATCAAAAATGAAAGCCCATTTTTGTTCACTCTGTGGTTTGTCAATTTTGTCGATAATTAGCATACTGTATAAGTATTTACATGTGTAGTTTGTGTATTTTAATCTTTGTTCTGTGCATTCTGTTGTTTGACATTGGGTGTCGTTCAATAGTGCTAACCATCTTTTCGGAATTGCATTTTTAACGGTGTACATTTCAGCAAGCCAATTTTTTTTATCGTGTAGTTTGTTAAGTATCTGTAATTCGTTTATATGATTGTTATTATCCAACAGATCTCTTATGTATATTATTCCTGCGTCTATCCATTTCTTGTAGTATAATGATGCGTGTTTTCTTTTTCTTTGGGTTTTTGTGACATAGCTAGACCCCCAAATAATATGATTTTTGACTTCGTTAGCTGTTACTGGTTCGGGTACGTTTCCGCCACCCGCTCGGTGCCAACTAAGTATGGCTTGCTTATAATATGGGGGTATGTGGTGTGGATTGGGAGAATTTGATCTATTTTTAAAATGCATTTTCAAGATTAGAAAGTCACTTCCAATGCTGTTTAGATAAAGACTTGGTATGATTTTCCAATCTCCTGATGTATTATCCATAAGACGTCTAATAATCGCAGCGTTATTGCTTCGATTTGTGCTCTGATATCTATCATTTTTAGTCCGCCTTTGTCATAGTTTGCTATGGTAACCGATCTTCTTATTTTGTCTTTCTTCCCTGACCACAAAAATTGATAAAATAGACGGTGTAGTTTAACAATAACTTGTTCTGGGGCTAATAGAGCTGTAGCACAGTATGTTATTTGTGACATTATTAGAGTTTTTAATATAGTTACCTTTCCATATAGAGTTAGCTTTCTGTTCTTCCATATGTTTAACATGCTTTCTATTTTTGTAACCTTTTCATGCCAATTTCTTTCATTGCACTCTTTTTTATCATAACTGAAATAAATTCCTAAAGACTTGATTGGTGTTTGGGGTACGGAAATTCCGTGTATTTGTTTTTTCCTGAATTTCCAACAACCAAGCCAGATAGCTTGTGTCTTTCTAAGATTTAGTTCAGGTCCTGCAATTTTACTAAAGTAAGACAGTGTATCTATTGCAGTATGTACAGACTTTTCATTTCCTAATAACAATGTTGTATCATCCGCAACTTGAGAGATTTTTATTTCTTTTATGTTATCACCATCTACAATTTTAATTCCTAGTATTTCTTTGTTTTGATTTATATATAATGCTAGTATTTCCGTTACGAAAAGGAAAAGAATTGCGGATAGTGGACAGCCTTGTCTCACTCCTCTCACCTCACCTCACCTCACCAGTCCCATAGCAGTCTGTCCTGCCGTCGGGGCAACTAAACTGTCCACAAGAGTTATCCACCCAGGGCGGTTATCCTCCTGGGTGGATATCCTTCTAGGCAGAGGAGTTATCCTCCTCTGCCTAGAAGGAAAAAGTCAGAAATCCAGCCATTGTTGATAACTCCGCTTGTGCATTTAGTGTAGATTGTTTTTAACCAATTCATATATTGATTTCCAAAATTGTATTTTTCTAGCACTTTAAATAAGAAATTTCGTTCCACAGAATCAAAAGCCTTTTTAAAATCGAGGAATAACAATAATCCGGGTATGTTTTCTTTTGCTGCGTATGTCATGATGTCTAAGAGTAGTCTTATGTTTTGTGTAATACTTCTCCCTTTTATATAAGCAGTTTGATTAACATTTATTAGTTTGGATAAAAAAGGTTTTAACCTATTCGCTAATATTTGTGTCAATATTTTGAAATAAACATTAAGCAAGTTGATTGGTCTCCAGTTATCAATGTTATTATCTTCCCCACCTTTATGTAGCAGTTTAAGGACGGCTTTTCTTTGAGATACCGATAACTCTCCTTTTTCCAAGCCTTCTCTAATAGAATCAATTACTAATTGGCTTACGATGTCCCAAAAAGCCTGATAAAACTCAACAGTAAGTCCGTCTGAGCCGGGGGTTTTCCCTTTTTTCATTTGCGATAACGCATTTTCGAAATCTTTATCATGCAGTGTGCTATCTAAATAAATATTATCTTCCCCAGACAAGGTGAGTGGTATTTCAACCTTTCCCAGAAAATTCTCTATCTCATCCTCATGCACCTGTCTGGATGTGTACAAATTTGCATAGAATTCCTTGCATTGTTGCAGTATTTCGGTGTTGTTCACTGCACGAAATGGCCTCGGATTATAGCAAATCCTGAAGATCCGAAATCGTGCATCATGACGGATACGTAGCAAATCCGGAGAAATCCGCAATCCTTACTAGAATACGAAGTAGCACTGCAGATCCGACAATTCCGGCACCGTATACGTCTGGATCTTTAAGAAATCACAGATACAAATTTGATATTCGCAAGGAACCTTCTTTCTCGGATATGTTATAAGTTCGGTTTTTGGGGGAGTCTGGAGTTGCCTCGGATCCTGGCAGATACAATAAATACCCATCATGGCGTCATACATGTACTACCACAGATTTCAGCAGATCCGCCTGCCGGGCATTAAACGGATTCTAAAATAACCCACAGGGCACTGCTGCTTTGGACTCTCCCGCAGATTCCGAACAAAATAACAGAAGCGGGATTTCGCGGATCTCACTTCCGCAGATCTGAACAAGATACCAGAAGCGGGATCTCGCTTCCACAAATCCGAAAGTGATTTGCAGCAACGGGATTTTGCGGATTTCAGAATTTCGTACTGCTAT